CTTAAAAGACCACTCTGATTTCTGCATGAAGAAGGAATTAGAGGAGAAGAAGAAAGGGAATGGGGGCCACCAGTTAGGAGGCTGTGACAGTGGCCCACAGAGATAATGGCTTAATAAGTGGTAGAGGAAGAGGGAAGGAAAGAAATGGGGATATTCGAGAGAGAGGGAGATGTTAGGAGTTGAAGTAGTTGAGACTTGATGGATTGGGCGAACATTTTGAGGGAGAAGGTGGTATTAAAGATGACTCTGGACTTCTGGCTGGGGCCATGGAATAGAGGATAACCCATCGGTCAGCAACAGTAATTTGTAACTCTTTCCATTTGGACTTCTTTGTTTTGGACACTGTGCTGGGCATAAGGGCTATAGGTGAGGAGGACAGCTCCTGCCTTCAGGGAGCTCATAGTCTACCAGGGAAACTGACAGCAATTGATATCTGTGAATGCAGAGAGAGGGGCTGAAATAACCGGTTATGCATGGGGGTGTGTAAGCAAAACTAATTGGAGAGACCGAGGTAGGACAACTTTTGAGGAGGTGGGCACTGAGCTGAACCTTCAAGGACAGGTAGGGGCGTGATGGAGAAAGCGGGGGAAGCAAAGACCCAGCACTGGGAGTATATAAACCAGCAGGAGAAGATAGGGCAAGTGTCCCAGAACACCCTGCCAAACCCCAGGGCTGCGTGAGGGTCGAGTGAGATACAGTAAGGAGGCTGTGAGCATTTGGTAAACTGCTATTAGTTACTACAGTCGTGGATTATTTGTGTAACACACCCAAGCACTCTGCAGATATCAAGAGTTATGATTTCATGGGCGGCGCCTGTGGCTCAGTGAGTAGGGTGCCGCCCCTATATACCAAGGGTGGCAGGTCCAAACCCAGCCCCGGCCAAACTGCAACAAAAAAAAAATCTGAGCATTGTGGTGGGCACCTGTGGTCCCAGCTGTGATGCCACAGCACTCTACCAAGGGCAATAAAGTGAGACTCTGTCTCTACAAGAAAAAAAAAGTTATGATTTCAGATTGCTACCTAACAGGATCCCTGATTCTCTGTCATAACAGTCTCTGACATTTATATTGTTGTCCCCATTTCAAGGGTGGGGAAACTGAGGTTTATTATGGGTGAGCAGTTGCCCCAGACCTCTCAGACTATAAGCAGCGCAGAAGGAAGAGAGACCCAGCAGGTCATCCTCATTTCTGAGAGGTTGTTGCTTTCAGAGCACACAGGCTGGGAGGTGGCAGGGGCCTGTGTCATATGCTCTCTAGAGAAGATATGCAGCTGGCCCAGATTCAGTGGCGTAGGCTGGGCCATGCCAAAGGACAGCTGGCCTGTGCCTGAGTGGGGTTGAACGCAGCTTGTTTCTGCTCCCCAAGCCACACATGCAACTTGTTCAAGGGGGTGGTTTTGCCTTATTCACACGGGCACACTGAGAGTGCAGCTCCCACCAGCCTCATTGGAGGTGATGGGGCATTTTACAGATGGGGAAGACTGGCAGGGAACTGTGGAACCAGGTGATGCCTAGTCAGTGTCGGTGATGGTTTCTCAGAGCTCTTGAGAACTGTTTTGTGCATAGAAAAACTGCCCAGGCTACTTTGGTTTTAAAAATGAATGCTTAATTGATAAAAATAATAAAATAAAGAATCTAGTAAAATGCAACAATCTCTTTTAAGGAGGATTTTCTAATGTAAGTCAACTCTCCTAAGTAATTAAAAATAAAATAATCTTAATAATCTTAAAAACATAGTGACTCTTGGGTTGTCATAAAAATTTTCATCATTGGCTCGGCTCCCATAGCACAGTGGTTATGGCACTGGCCACATATACTGAGGCTGGTGGATTCAAACCCAGCCTGGGCCAGCTAAACAATAATGACAACTACAACAAAAAAATAACCAGGAATTGTGGTGGGAGCCTATAGTCCCAAGAGAATTGCTTTAGCCCAAGAGTTTGAGGTTGATATGAGCTGTGACGCCATGGCACTCTACCAAGTGTAACTAACATAGTGAGACTCCGTCTCAAAAAGAAAAAAAAAAATCATCATTGTCTACATAATTCTAAAACTGTCTCATATTTTTCTACTTTAAATTATTTCTAAAGACTATACTTTCAGGGTTCATTTCTATAATTTTTTTTTTTTTTTGAGACGGAGTCTCAAGCTATCCCCCTGGGTAGAGTGCCATGGCATCACGCTTACAGCAACCTCCAACTCCTGGGCTCAAGCGAGTCTCCTGCCTCAGCCTCCCAAGTAGCTGGGACTACAGGCACCCGCCACAACGCCTGGCCATTTTTTTTTTTGGTTGCAGCCATCATAGTTGTTTGGCGGGCCCGGGCTGGAGATTCGAACCCACCACCTTAGGTGTATGTGGCTGGCGCCTTAGCCGCTTGAGCCACAGGCGCGGAGCCCATTTCTATAATTGTTAAATTACATCTAACTTGATTATTTCATTACACATTTTATATTGGAATTACAAAGCTAATCTGTTGGGTATTCTAATATGCTAAATTATCCTAAGCATTACAAATACTTTTGAACTAAATCCATGCAGATTTTTCCCAAACTTAATACTCAAAAAAGTAATATTTTACATTTGACTTAATTCATCAATTATAATCTTAATTCTAAACCCTCCCATAACTAAAGACATTTAGTTATGTCTAGAGAAAAAAGTTAACTAGTCAAAGCAAAGTTAACAAAGTCAAACCTATATGAGGTTATAGGTCCACACAATCTGGGCTTAGCTCACAGCTGGCTAGGGCTGCTCATTAAAAAGACATTTGGGGTGTGCGAGGCTGTAAACATCCAGGGAAGTATGGCCTGGTCATCATGATCTCCATGCCTGCATGGACTCTGAGTCCATGTCCTGGCAAGGGATAAGTTCTTCAGCCCAAGCCTGAGATCCGTGAAGCCCCACCCTACCCCATCACCTTCTTTTGTCCTCTCTCAGTTTGATCATCCCACTAGGATGACCCCACCCACATCACCTCATGACCTGAGAGGGCTTAGCTAATTGATTTCCTGCCTGATTCTATTCTGAATTCAGTTTTTATTTTTTCTCTCTGGCTGTACATAAATGACTGAAGGTGTTTTAATGCCATCTTTGGATTCTGCACACTCTCACAACCTTGCCTCAAACACTTAAGGTCCTTCTGACAGCAGCCAGCCATGTCAGTCCGGCCACAGCATCTATGCCCCATGTCATGCTGAGCTAGAGAGCTGTCCTGGCCCTCTCCCTCCACTGTGCACTCAGGTCCAGCAAGGGGGCTGGTGGGCAGGCTGCCTGTGCCACTGAGGGCTCAAAAGACTAAATACAATAAAAAGCTTATGTAGCAGAATATAAACAATCCAAAATATGTGGGATTTTATTTCAAAGTAAATAGAAAAATAATCATAATACTACTTAGTAATACCATAGTACAAGGGCTCTATGTACATGACCTTTACATCATAAATTTCTGAGTGAATATCATATCATTATACCTACTAAACACATGACAGGCTTGAAGCCCAGAGAGATCAAACCATACTGAGCTAAGAAAGTGCTACCAAGTAGAGGTCTTACTAAAGCAGCTTTAAGAAACAGTGAGACATAATTTCTGTAGAAGCCTGATAGGAACTGTTAAAATGCTGAAAGTTTATTGCTACACATGTTGAAGAATAAGAGTAATAATAACAGTATGGAGGACCTACTGTGTGCCAGGGGGAAGAGCACAGGCTCCAGGATTGGAAAAATCCAGACTAGTCCATGTGGGTCCCTTCACTTTCCATATCACCTGCCCTCTCAGGACCTCCTTTTTGTCATGAGACAAGTAGGGGTAATAACATCCTTCCTGTGTGCTTCACAGGGCTGCTGTGTAGCCAAGATGAGCTATGACAAGAAGTGAGTGGGAGAGCAGAGTGTGTTGTAGGTGTGCACAGTCTTGTGACACCTGCCGAGCAACATCACTGCTGAGCAGCAACTTTCCACCTGGCCTGCAAGGGAGGGGTGTGCATTCCACACCAGAGGGCTCCAGACTAGCCGGGTCTGAGCATGGCAATGTTTGCCCACAGGTGTCAGTGCTGTTACTGTCTCCGCATGTGGGTGGGCCAAGGGATGGGAAAGAGGGCTGCAGTGAGGCAGCTGGAATGGCCCAGGAGGATTCTGGTGACAGGCTTGGACTCTGGGCTGCAGGGACATAGGCCCAGGAGCCTTGGAGTTAGTGACAGCAAGAGTCCAAGGAGTACAGAGGGAAATGGAAGTGGGGATAGAGTGAGGGGACCAGGGCCTCATCACTACTGGAATGGGGAGTCCCAGTCAGCTACCTACCAAAGGTGGGGGCAGTGGGGGTGATGCAGGCAACAATGGGGTTCACTGTCTATAGAAATTTAAAAGCAATGATAAAGCTAAAGGCCAGCTATCACCATATGCTGGCTGTGCTAGACAATGTCAGTGACAATAATACCTTTCCCCCTTGCAGGGAGGGAGAAGAAGGAAATTCCCACTGCACCCTTTCTTGGTATGCCATGGATCCCTTGCCTCTCCCTTCAGTCAACCCTTAAAAAGAGGGTCAGGGAAGGAAAGGAACCTTGGAGGCCACGAGAATAAGGAAAGAGAACAGCTAAGAGAACATCTAAGAGAATAGCTAACACGGGGTTCCCAGGAAGGGCCCAATGATCCTGGTGGAAAAAGCAGAGGGCCTGGATGGAGTGTGGGGTGGGTGGGCTTCTTGGATGCCCACTGGCCAAGTCTGAGTCCAGCTATGATACTGCTGTTGTCACCAGGGCACCATCCCTGTGCCACGTGCAGGTTATAATCAATTGGCAAGCACATTGAATTACTGATCCCTGAGCCTGTCCCTCACCCTACCCCACATTCTGTAATAAGAACATAGAAATCAGACTCTACTGGCTCTCCAGCAAGAGCTGCCCGGCCCAGGCTCCACTGGGCCAAGATTTATCAGGCAATCTGTGCTCTGCCCTATACCTGGCCTGAGCTCTACCCCCACAGTGACCACTTCTCTCTCCTTTGCAGGAGCCTGGTCAAACCTGCCAGTGATTCAAGTAAGAATCGAGGTCCTGTAGCCACAGAGCCAAACAAGGATCAAGGTCCTGTGGTCCCAGGCCTTCTGAAAGGTCATGGTCCTGTGGTCCAAGAGCCTCCAAAGGATCAAGGCCCAATAGTCCTGGGAACTCCAAAAGATCAAGGTTCTGTAGTCCCAGGGTCTCTGAAGGATCTAAGTCCTATGACTCCAGTACAAGTCAAGGATCAAGACCATGTGGTCCATGAGCCTGTAAAGAATGAAGGTTCTATGATCTCAGCACCAGCCAAGGACCAAGTTCCTTTGGTCCCAGTGCCTCTAAAGAACCAAAGTCCTATGGTTCCAGCAAGAGTTAAGGATCAAAGTCCCATGGTACCAGAGTCTCTGAAGGGTCAAAGTCCTGTGCCCCCTGAGCCTGTGAAGAATCAAGTCCCTGTGGTCCCAGCACCTGTTAAGGATCAAGATTCCATGGTTTCAGCATCTGTCAAGGATCAAGGTCCCAAGATCCCAGAACATCTGAAGAATCAAAGTGCCACAGCACCTGTAAAGAAGGAAGGTCCTGTGGTATCTGAGTTTATAAAGAATCAAAGTTTTGTGGGTCCAGAGCCAGTCAAGGATCAAAATGTAGTGATCCCAGAGCATCTGAAGGTTCATGATTCTGCACCCATGGCACCTATAAAGAATCATGGTCCTGCAGTCCCTGAGTCTGTGAAGAATCAAAGCCCTACTGTCCCAGCACCAGTCAAGGATAAGGATCCCATAATTCCAGAGCCTCCAAAGAATCAAGGTCCTGTGGTCCCTGAGCCTATAAAGAATCAAGTTCCTATAATCCCGGTGCCTCTGAAGGATAAAGATTCCTTGGTGCCAGCACCAGCAAAGGACCAAGGTCCTACGGTCCCTGAACCTCTTAAGACTCAAGGTCCCAAGGGCCCTCAGCTGCCTAGTGTCTCACTTCCTCCCCCAGTTGTGATCCCAACTGTCCCCCATGCAGAATATCTTGAGGGTTCCCCTTGATATGCACCTCTTGACTTGCCAATGAAGGAGCTGGCAGTGAAAGTGCTCCCCTCCCAGGGCAGTGAGGCACTTATTTAATCTGCATGAAACATGTACCGTAGTCTTGCTAGAGTCTAATAAATCTGATCCTCTGGCTCAGCAGTGTCTCTCTCTGGCTCGAGGGGTGGGGGGCATGTGGTACATATGTGTGCATGCTGTGTACACTGAAAGCGGGCATGCCAGCCTCTGCTTTAACCCACACAGGCCAGAGCTGTCTGAGAAACACCCAGTTCCTGGGACTTGTCAGCATGAGATGAGAGTGAGCAAGCAATGCCAGGAGTCTGAGAATAGGACTCTGTCATGAAGGTGGGCAGGACAAGCCAAGAGTTAAATGCCAGGAAAGCCCAACAGACTGAGCCTTGAGTGGGTCAGAGTTGAAGCCTACAGAAGAATGAGCAAGGACCCAGTGGCCCAAGGTAATTTTAAGTGATAGTTGTTTGCCTAACTGTCTTAAAACTCATCCAGAGGTCAAACTTCTTGAGAACAGTAGGCCCCTGGTCGTAAGTCTCAGGATACTGCAGAACTTTGGCTCAGCCAAGACCTTCCCAAAATGCCTGAAGTCCCCACTTATTCATACATGCAGTGGGCCTTACCTTAGCACCCACTTTGTGCCAGGCTGTGTGCTGGGCACTGGGGTCACTGAGGTGAGAAATCTCAGTCTTAGGACAATAAAATGTGATGGGGGATGAGGCCCTGGGAAAAACAAAGGCCTGGCTTTGAGAGGACATCCAGTTATGCCAGCCAGGAGGGCTTCCCAGAGAAACTGGCTATGGAGTCCCAACAGGCTGCTGGACAGCCCAGGCAGGAGCAGACTGGGCATAGGCCGTCTCTGGAAGTCCCTGAATGAAAGGAATCTGGCTTGCATGAGGACTCAGCTAGGGGTATAGCAGGCCTCTGGGACAGAGGGCTGAGGCCAGGCAGAGGGGATCAGTTTTCTGAATCTCAGGACATCCATGAGGGAGAGAGGGTCAACCTTGTAGGCTGTGCGTGTGTGCTGGCCGGTGAGGGAGAGCCACAGCCAGGCCATGGGGAAGGAGGCTGGGAGCTGCCAGTGGGCCTGAAACTCAGCCTTGGTCAGAGATGGGTCCTGCCAGAGTCCCACAAGGTCGAAGGGCAGCCTCTCTAAGCCCAGAACCCTCAGGGAGCTCTACTTGTTGTCCCTACCAACACTGGCTCCCAAAACACTCTTACCCCTTTTAAAGGAGTTCAGCTTACAGAAAATTCATCACAGGAGGACTCCCAAAGAGCCCAGGTTTCTGGCCCCAAGTCTGCCTCCTCATCTCATTCCCAACAGCACTAGGGTTCTCTGCCTCCAGAAGCCACCTCCATACACACACACTGTGAGGTTTCTTCCTGGCCCAACACAGACGCAGGCCGCAGAGCTTGCTGCCATATGAGCTCTGACATCAGGGACCTGAAGACAAGAAAAGGCCACACTGAGGCTCCAGGAGCGGTGTGTGTGGACATCTCCTCTTCTCACTTCTTTCTCTGACCCGCACACCACGTCCCATAACACACATCTTCTCACAGGCCAACTAGGTGATAGTGCCACCTCTGAGATGCAGAACAAGGTTCCGGAAGGACCTCCGAGACAGCCAGGGGCACATGTCCAGGAGCCCACTAGGCTGGACCTCCGAAGGGAGCATGGGCTGGAACCCAGATCTTGGGATGGCAGGAGGAAGGGGAAGCAAATTCTTTCCGAGACAGAAGCAAAAGAGAAATGAGCCCAGTTCCAAGCTGGGGAGCCTTTTAGGAAGAGAAGAGCATAGAGGAAGCTGAGAGGGGCAGGCCCATGGTGCTTATGGTTCCAGAAGGCATTCAATAAGAAAGCAGTGATCCCGGGTGTGGAAAGCTGGCAGAGTGCAGATGAGGACTGGGGGCCCTCCGGTATGGCAGCTTCTTCTAGGAGCCCAGCACCAGCACCCTCGGCATCCCCATTTGTAAAATGGTCCTGACATTAAAGGAGGTCCTAGACAGAAACCTCACTCAGGGGTGAGGGGCAAGGCTCAGAGCCTGTAACCCTCTGCCCAGTCCAGCTCTCCACTGCTGAGAAAGAAGGTGTAGAAACTGAGGTGAAGGGGCTGAGGCAGAGCGAGCAGAAAGGCAATGGATTCCCCTGCCCCCTTTTTTGCAGTTTTTGGCTAGGGCTGGGTTTGAACCCTCCACCTCCGGCATATGAGGCCGGCGCCCTACTCTTTTGAGCCACAGGCGCCGCCCACCCCTGTACCTTTTCACTTAAAGACTTCATTGGCGCCCCGCTCCTCCCTGCTGCAGTCATTTCGCAGCCCCTCCGTGGCGACCCCCTTTCTCTCCCTGACCTGGGGCGGCTGGCTGGGGCGGCTCCGCGTCCCCGCCGGTGCGATGGCCGGAGGAGGAGAAAGCGCAGCCTGGCGCCCCTTCCCCAAGGCGTGGTGCGCTGAGAGTGCGGAGGTCCAGCTCTGGTGGGCTCCTGGACATGTGCCCCTGGCTGTCTCGGCGGAGGACCTTTGGAAACCTTGTTCTGAATCTCAGAGATGGCACTATCATCTGGCTGGCCTAGGAGAGAGAGGGAGGGAGGGTCTCTGCAAAAGGAGGTTCCCTGCTACCCGCCCAGGGGCAAATCTTGTCCAAAAATCCCAACCCAAAGATGCCCAGGCTTGGGAGGGCATCTCCCTGTAAGAGCCCCGACCCTCGATTGGCTCTGAATCGTCTCGCCGCAGCACTCCATGTACTTGCATACCCGCTTGCCCGCAGGCTCACCCCTGCCAGGCCCGGAGCTCTACTACTCAGAAGGGCCGCGGGGGTGGGGTGGGAGTGGGTGGGCTGGTGGGCAAGACAGTGTCCCCGCAGGTGGGCGAAACAAGCCCCGGGTCCCGGATCCATGCACATCCGCTCCAGAGAAGGCTGGCGCCACGTGAAGGACGGGCTAGCAGACCCAACCCAGGAGTTGAACCCCGAGGCCGCGCTGGAGCCCCTGGCGGCTGATTCCCGGAAAGACCAAGATGTTTTCTTTTCTTACATGGTAACTCTCCTCCCTTAACACCCGACCCGCCCCGGGGAAATGGGGAGACAGTACGTGTGGGTAGGGGATAGGGAACAGAAACCAAGTCGGAACAGATTGACACCCAGGCGTGTCTTTGTCTCTGGGTAGATGCGTTGTCCAGAGGAAGGGGGTGGGGTACCCTGATTGACCCAGTTGATAACTGGAAAAGATGTCACTGTGCGGAAGACATCAAGGAAGAAGTGGTCAGAGGGACCAGAGACCCTGAATGCTTCCTACAATATGGATTTTAAATGTCCATTGAACAAAATGGATGAAATGTTGATACATACTGATGTTTTATGATGAGTACATAGAAGTTCATAATACTGTTCTTTTAACTGTCATGTGTATATTGGAAACTGTTTGCATCTAAAACATAAGCTTTCTTAAAGGGTCCATTGCACTAGTATTAAAGAGATCTCTGACCTTGGCAATTGCAGACTCTCTGGAGTGGAAGAACTAGAAGCCTTACCCCAGTGAATGAGGGATAATAAAAGGGAGGAGAAATCGAGTGTGTTTCATACCTGATGTGTGACTCACTGACACCCCATTTAGCACTAAATGAACACATACACCCCAGGTATCTCTGAGAAAAGAGCAGATTCTGTGTACCAGTCATTAATTACTTTCATAGTCCCTGGTGCCTCCCACACAGGGAGCGCTCTAACCTGGGCCCAGTGGTGAGCCAGGAGCTCTTCCTCAATAGGAGGAAAACTGCTTGCCAAGGAGCACTCAGCTTCACCCCTAAATACTAGATATTCCATGTGACTCTTCTATCAGGGTTTGTCATGGGCTCAAACATCATTGCCATCTGCTAGATCTTCAAGGCCACGTGGCAAAGCAGCTTGTCCTTCAGTCTGGACTACCTGGAAGCCTTCTTTTTCTCTGGGGCTCACTCAAACCTGGCAGCCTTACAGATTACTCAGCCAGTGGATCAGAAAAGCACACCAAGGCTCAGCGCCTGTGGCTCAAGTGGCTAAGGCACCAGCCACATACACCTAAGGTGGCCTGTTCAAATCCAGCCCGAACCCACCAAACAACAATGACGGCTGCAACCAAAAAACAGCTGGGCATTGTGGTGGGTGCCTGTGGTCCCAGCTACTTGGGAGGCAGAGGCAGGAGACTCGCTTGAGCCCAGGAGTTAGAGGTTGCTGTGAGCTGTGAAGCCACAGCACTCTACCCAAGTCTACCCAGCTTGAGGCTCTGTCTCAAAAAAAAAAAAAGAAAAGAAAAGCACACCAAAATGTGATATACGTTGCCTCCAAAACACACAGAAGGAGCCCCGGTCTTGTACGTTTTATTCACAGTAAGATATAGAAAGCCCAGCAATTGTCTTTCTCTTTGCAGAGTCTTTCCTGGCATGATTCAGACCACTGAACACTCAGACACTTAACTCAGGTAGCAGGCCCCAGTGTTCTCCTGGATTTATTTCCCATTCTCAGGCATGTTTATATTTTATTGAGGCATCTAACCTACCCACTACTTCCTACTCTCCCAATCCTAGCAACATAATATAATCAATGTAGTGGACAAGTATGATGAGAGGATGATCAAAACCCCCATAGACTACATTGTCACAGAGAACCAGCACTTGATGAGTTTCAGGACAAGATTAGGAAAGTGTGTTGCTATCTTTGCCAAGAGAGAGAAAACTGCCACTCGGGCTTTCTATAGAGGAAAAGAAAACAATTGTCAGATAAATAGTTTCACATCAACTGTGACCAAAAAAAGAAAGTAGTCCCCATAGAAAGACCACACCTAGAATAGCATCGGCAATTTAATTCACCATGTGAGTAAACTCATGATAATGCCCGTTGTCCAAGATCCATGCCTTCTGCACAGACCAGACAGGTGAGTTAAATGGGATGAGACAGAAACCAGCCAGGGACCTTTCCAGTCTTTGGTGAAGGCATGAATTTCTGTGATTCCTCCAGAATCA